TAAAGTAGTATATGAATAGCAGGACTTGATATTAATGTGAAATTCATAACTTGTATATATATATATGTGTGTGTCATCTGGTAATCTCTTACCCATTGAATTTCCATAATCCATTGTCTAGATATTACTTAAGGGATTTTCATTATCCTATCTATTATTCTGCATTGGTGTCTGCTGAGAATACATATGGGGTGAATCATCATCATTATTATCATAATATTTAATTACCATCTGCATTGTTCTTTGTACTTGACAAGTATTTGTTTAAGTTTCATAATAACTCTATGAGAAATGTATTATTGTTACTCCCATTTTAGTTAGCCTGCTCAGGATCAGGGCTTGCCTGGTGACTCAGTGGTAAAGAATCCACCTGCCGATGGAGGAGACACAGGTTCAGAACCCGGGTTGGGAAGATCCCCTGGAAGAGGAAATGGCCACCCACTCCCATATTCTTGACTTGGAAATCCCATGGACAGAGGAGCCTGGTGGGCTCCAGTCCATGGAGTCTCAGAAGATTTGGACTCAAATAAAAACAACAGCAACAACTGCTCAGGGTCACTAAGAGTAAGAAAATATTTTGATCAGTTGTGGCACAGGGGTTTCCACTCACATATCTAATGAATAGCTAAGAGATAGAAGAGCTCCTGTTTTATTCCCCAATTCCCTATTTATTTCTTGATTTATATCTAAAGTTATTTCCCATGTGAACTAATAAGAATAATTTAAATGCATATAGATTTTTGAGACTTCTAAATATGTTCATCTTTGTTGTTAAGTCCCTATGTGACAACTGAAGAAAAGAGATATACATAAGTTGTGAAAATAAATGCAGAAGCAAAGTGAGCATGACTTGTCTCTCGTAACAATGCTCTTTCCTCCATGCTGTGCCAATCTCTTGTGCCCTTAACAGTTTTTGTAGATGCCAGGTATATCTTCCGAGATTTCACCCTGCTTTCAAATTTTAAGAAGATTCCAGAGAACATGAAATGAGTTGAAATTCTCCAGGCAAGAGTACTGGAATGGATAGCCATTTCCTTCTTCAGGGAATCTCCCTGACCTAGGGATCAAACCCAGATCTCCTTCATTGCAGGTGGATTCTTTACCATCTGAGCCACCAAGGAAGCCCAACAAACTGTGGAAAAATTTTAAACACATGGGAATACCAGACCACCTTACCTGTCTCCTGAGGAACTTGTATGCAGCTCAAGAAGCAACAGTTAGACCCAGACATGGAACAATGGACTGCTTCAAAATTGGGAAGGGATTACGTCAAGGCTATATACCGTCACTCTGTTTATTTAACTTATATGCAGAGTACATCATGAGAAAAGCCAGGCTGGATGAATTACAAGCTGTAATCAAGATTACCAGGAGAAATATCAACAACCTCAGATATTCAAATAATACCACTCTAATGGCAGAAAGTTTTACAACCTTAGTGGTGGCTCAGATAGTAAAGAATCTGCAGGCAGTGCCAGAGACCTGGGTTTGATTCCTGGGTCAGGAAGATCCCCTGGAGAAGGGAATGGCAACCATCTCCAGTATTCTTGACTGGAGAATCCCATGAACAGAGGAGCCTGGTGGGCTACAGTTCATGGGGTCACAAAGGTCGGAACCAGTGAGTAACTAACAGTGCAGAAAGCAAAGAGGAACTAAAGTGCTTCTTGATGAAAGTGAAAGAAGATAGTGAGAAAGCAGGGTTAAAACTCCATTCAAAAAACTAAGATCATGGCATCTGGTTCCATTACTTCATGGAAAATAGAAGGGGAAAAAGTGAAAACAGTGTCAGATTTTATTTCTTGGGCTCCAAAATCACCACAGTGACTGCAGCCATGAAATTAAATGACACTTGCTCCTTGGAAGGAAAGCAATCACAAACTTCAGTCAGTCAGTCAGTTCAATTGCTCAGTCATGTCCGACTCTTTGTGACCCCATGAACCACAGCACACCAGGCCTCCCTGTCCAACACGAACACCCAGAGTCTCCCCAGACCCATGGCCATCAAGTCGATGATGCCATCCAACCATCTCATTCTCTGTCGTCCCCTTCTCCTGCCCTCAATCTTTCNCATAATTTTCCTTCCAAGGAGTAAGCGTCTTTTAATTTCATGGCTGCAATCACCATCTGCAGTGATTTTGGAGCCCAGAAAAATAAAGTCTGACTCTGTTTCCACTGTTTCCCCATCTATTTCCCATGAACTGATGGGACCAGATGCCATGATCTTAGTTTTCTGAATAGACAGCATTATTAAAAACCAGAGACATCACATTGATGACAGCAGTCCATAGAGTCAAAGCTATGGTTTTCCCAGTAGTCATGTACAGATGTGAGAGCTGGACAATAAAAAAGGATGAGTGCCAAGCAATTGATGCCTTCGAACTTCGGTGCTGGAGAAGACTTGCAAGAATCTCTTGGACAGCAAGGAGATCAAATCAGTCAATACTAAAGGAAATAAACCCTTAATAATCATTGGAAAGGCTGATGCTGAAGCTTAATCTCCAGTACTTTGGCTGCTTGATGTGAAGAACTGGCTCATTGGAAAAGACCCTGATGGTGGGAAATATTGAAGGCAGGAGGAGAAGAGGGCAACAGAGGATGAGATAGTTGGATAGTGTCATCAACTCAAGGGGCTTGAGTCTGAGAAAACTCCAGGAGATAGATAGTAAAGTAAACGGAAGCCTGGTGTGCTGCAGTCTATGAGGTTGCAAAGAGTCAAACACGACTGAGTGCCTGAACAATCAGAGAACAGAGGTTATTAGATTTCTCTCCTTGAAATGGGAGAAAAGTGCCCTAAATGCTGCTGTGTGATTCTGATTTTATTTATTTGCAAGTCACTGTTTTATGTCATCATTTTGTTAGATAAGTTAAATGTTTTAGACTTTTGTGATTTTTAGTTTTCTTTTAAAACTCCACAAGTAGAATAAGACAGTGGTCCCCAACCTTTATGTCACCAGGGACCAATTTCTTGGAAGACATTTTTTCCATGGAATGTGGGTTGGTGGGGTGAATGGATTTTGGATGATTCAACCACATTACATTTATTGTGCACTTTATTTCTATTACTATTATATCTGTTCCACCTCAGACCATTAGACGTTAGATCCCAGAGGTTGGGGACCCCTGGAATAAGAAATTCATTATAAGATGGAACTATATAGAGTTGAAATGTATAAGTATTAATAGTACATATATTTTTGGAGAGTACAATATGGAAAAGAAATAGCAAGTAGGGGATAATTTCTCGAATAGTATAGAAATTAAACCTGGTATAGGGTAAGAAGAAATTCAGGAGATGGAACATGCAGAGACAAGATAGGCACAAAGGAAATAGGTTAATGTTTAGGTGAATTTGTCAAGATAGCAAAGTATAAGGCAAGAAGATAAAGGGGGTGGGATGGGAGCAATATCTAAAGACTGTTAGAGAAAAGGAAGTTCTATATAGATATTGAGGCTATAGATGGAACAAGAAAATATTGGGTGTCAAGATCGTTTTCTATTCTGAAAACCTGTGATTATTGTTGAAGTTAAGATTCTCTTAACAGAGAATGGAGGGGAAAATGAAGGGGAAAATCAGTTTGAGGGAGAGCTGTGGTTTCAGATCTTTGGGGACTGATAAGACTAAATATTTCCAGTGCTATTAATATATATTAATTGTTGACTAAATTTGTTGCCTCCAATCAATTGTGTTACTGTCTCTATACTAAAAGGAGATTTGATCTTGGGATGGGATGTTTTTATGATATTTATATGCAATTAGTTTATAAATCTGAAACATCAATGTACATATACTACCATGCATAAAATAGATAGCTGGTGAGAAGCTGAATATAACACAGGAAGCCCAGCGTGCTACTCTGTGATGACCTAGAGGGGTTGAATGAGGGGAGGAGGGAGGCCAAAGGCGAGGGGGTATATGTATAATCATGGCTGATTTGCATTGTTGTATGGCAGAAACCAAGACAACATTGTAAAGCAATTTTCTTCCAATTAAAAAATCATATTCCATGTTTTTCAAATACCTAAATTAGAGGAAAATAGCAAAAACAAAAGGAGAGAGGGAGAAATCCTGTGATTATGTAAAAGTTAATGAGGGAAAGTAAGAGTGAGTAGAAGCTATTAAGAGAAAAAGATTAAAGCTTCCAAGAGAAATGGGAGTTTAGAAAAGATGACTTTTCTTGCATCCTGCTGCCCCATCACTATTACACTATTACACTATCACAGTGAATTGGTGGGTCTTCTGTGATTTGAGCAGAGGTGGGACTTCTCATTGATTACTGCCTCACCCACTAAGAGGGTCCAAATAGTAGCCCATGTTGATAAATTCTTGGGCAGAAGTAGCAAAAGCAGCATCTTAGAAGGGATATTGCTATTATTATTATTTTATTTGGCCACATTGCACAGCATGTGGAATCTTAGTTACCAGACCAGGGATTGAACCCACACCCCCTGCATTGGAAGCATGGAATGACTGGCTCACCAGGGAAGCCAAGAAGAAACATTGAATGGGGCTATCGATCCAGATGGCCTTCAAGTCCAAATAAAGTAAAACTCTAGGGAATCTGCCTGGGATGTTCCCCTGCCACATTTTGAGTTACTGATCATAGTTTATATTGTACAATAGCTGTTTTATACTGTACAATAGCTGTTATGCTTCGAGGAATTTACACTCTTCTCTATTAACTGTCATTCTCTGTAGCTGGTAGTAGCTATCTAGCCTATCAACTTTTATTTATTTAACTGTTATATACATTGCCTAACTTGGATGCTCATCATTTACTTTCTAACGTGTGTAATGAGGCAGGTCTTCTTGAATGTACGTCTGAGCTTCTTTTCATGTCAGAGATACTATGCTATCAAGAATGACCTTGTATGGATTGTAATCTTCATATCTCTTACTATGCACAATATATTTTTATCTACTAATTTTTTCTTAGAGAAAAATAAGCCCAGTAGGCTATCTCACTGGAAAGTTATTAATATTGTTTTCTAAACATTTACAGGTAGTGCTGGGACACCAGTTACTTTTAATGAAAACGGAGATGCTCCTGGTCGTTATGACATCTTCCAGTACCAAATAACCAACAAAAGTACAGAATACAAAATCATTGGGCACTGGACCAATCAGCTTCATCTAAAAGCAAGTATCAGTATGAGCTTGCATTTATGTCTATGGTTCTCAAGGAGTGATGCTTTACTTTTAAGTGTATTACATCAATATACTATTCATTAGAATTGATTTTCTCATAAGCAGACTTTTAGAAAATGTATGATTTGATCCTTCCTCAACTTTAAAATGTGATGGAAAGTCTTAAGTGTCTCTGGAGAAATCTGGTATCTGTAGGGATTTAATGAAGACCTCATTTCCTTTTAAGTGACGATATAAACACTTCGGAAATTTTACGGTTTTCTGAAAGATTCACTTGTTCAAGTATTTATACAGTGTGTGCATATGTATGTGTATGTGTGGATGTTGGGGTGGAGGGGTGACTGTGTGTTATGAATGACCAAGTTGGTGCTTAAAAATAAGTGTATTTCACCTTTGCCATATCATAAGTTGAGATCTATGGCTACATCTGATGGATGGAAATGAATCATGGAAATGAATCATATAAATTCTCATTTGTATTACCTTTTTGAATCACAACACCAGAGAAAGTTAATGTACCCAAAAGAGATTTTAACAACCCATAGGGCTGCCTGCCATCGCCATCTCCTGGAGAGTCATCAAGGTCCAGAGATTTTGTTGCTCCTACAACTAGCCATGTGAGGACAACTTGGGGACCTGTGTTTCCTCTGTAGGCAGTGAGGAGCCTTTAAAATGTGTCAGAGAAACTAGAAGCATATTATTCTTTGGTTCCTCTGTCCTAGTATTTCACTCTTTATTCTAATAAGAGCCTTTATTCTTCTTGATTCTCAAAGCTACCAAACACTGTGAGAGTTGAGTTCCTTTCTTAAATGAATAATTAAGCTCCTTTCCAGACTGCCCTTTATCCTAGCTGGAAGGTAGTGATGTATGCCATCCATGAGGGTGGGGAGAGAGATCATTCTAGTCTGTGGGTGTGTTACACGTGTGTGCTTTCTTATGTGTGAACCCATTCAGAGGACATCAATTTAGTGTGGTGTTTTTAATACATTTTTCACTTCTTAATGTCCAAATAGAGCCCCTGAAATGCTATGTTTATACTGCAACAGTTACCACAATTCTCAGCAAGGCAGATAATAAGAAATAACAAAACTAGGATATTTATGATTTATTGTCTAGGTATGACTTCCTGATAATTATCACAGTTCTGCATTCAATAATGCACAAAGACAACTTATTTTGCAGCTATTGTTACAGTATGTAAGACCACATATCTACAGCTTACTGCCTCTAGGAACCTAATGAAACGTCCATCCTCCTGCAACCCAAATTAACATTTACCGAAACAAAAGTTTGATAACTCTACAGGTTGTTGATACCAACCTGAGCATCTATAGTTTCTTGGCAAAAGTCCTTTTGACAGTGGACCTCTGTGAAATCAAATAATTGAACACAACAAAGAAAATTTGCTAAGGATTAAAATGGGGAAGCTTCTTTTTATCTGACTTTTACAAATGCCAACCTGCTTACTATAGTCTTATGGTTACGGATTTGAAAAACAAAGTTTAATGGTTGAAAAATCCATACACATATATATGATACCAAGATACCTAAACTAACTGTACGCAAGTAGACATGCACACACACATCTCTCACTGTATATATGCTTATTATAAAACTTTATGTTGACTCTCAAGCTGCTCTTTTATGTACATTTATGGTGCATGGAAAGTTTTATGTTTATTATTGTGTTATTGCTCATAAAATATATCAAAACAATTTGTGAGAATTATTTCTCATGCATGATTATGATTGTTTATGGCTAAATAGCCATGCCAGCTTTACTGAAACAGAGAGAATCAACTCTCAGAAGAAAATAGAGTCAATTAGATTGTAAAGAGAGGTTGTAAGTCCAGGGTTGGATTCTGAATTTTATCAGAACAAACAAAATGATTATTTCTCTTTGGAAACTGGATTACTCATCTGTTTGAAGGTGCAGTAGGAGTTGCTTGGAAAGTGACAGGTTTACTCAAGCTCTGCTTAGATCTCAGGCAGTGTGTGTGCACTTAGTTGCTCAGTTGTGTCCAGCTCTTGGTGACCCTGTGGACTGTAGCCTGCCAGTCTCCACTGTTCGTGGGGGGAAAAAAGAATACTGGAGTGGGTTGCCACTTCCTCCTCCTGGGGATCCTCCCGACCCAGGGTTTGAACCCATGTCTTCTATGTATCCTGCATTGCAGGCAGATTCTTTACCCACTGAGCCATCACAGAAGCCCCTGATCTCAGGGAGGACATTAAACAAATGCTTTGCCTCAGTTTTGTCATTTATAAAGTGGAAGCATTAATAGCACTTACCTTAGATGGTTGTATTAAGAATTAAGTGAAATCATACAATAAAGCAGTTAGTCCAGAGCTTGGCACATATGATGCCCATAAACATTACTAATCCAATGTCTCATGATACTGTGTGGTCAGGGGAAGATCTGAGGATGAGTGTGCTGAGTAGAAAAGTGGAGGTCCTGTTGGAAGAGGCACTTGTTTGCTTTAACAAGTTCAGAATCTGTTCACTTAAAATGGGGACCATTTTGGCTAATGAGAAGCTGCTCTGTGGCGCGGGGAGCTCGGCTTTGTGCTCTGTGTTGACCTGGACGGGTGGGGTGGTGGAGATTGGAGGGAGGCTCAAGAAGGAGGATAAATGTATGTTTACTCACAGCTGATTCACGTTCTTGTCCAGCAGAAGTCAGCACAACATTGCAAAGTAAGTACCCTTCAATTAAAAATAAATAAATAAATAAATGGAGACCATTTGTCCCTATAGCCTATTGCCTGCCTTTAATATTGACCTTAATACTTAGCAAATACCTCTGCATTACAAAGTAAACTTTATTTAATGTAAATACATAGTTTCTTTGTCTATGGTAGGGTGTGGCTAGATATTGTCACCTAGGCAGTCATTTTGAATGGATTGGATACACTTGTTCTGTGCACATACTCCATGCTAAAAGTTGGAATTAGAGTGAAAATGTGGACCTTGCTCTCAGGGCTCCCACAGACTGGAAGGATAGAAAGACCCTCAAATCAACAATTCTAGTGAAGTGAGGCAGGAACACAGATGAACGTATGTCTGTGGTTTTGCACTCACAGCCAAACACAAGCTTCTAACCTGGCCTGACTGCTGATGGGGGTTCCGATGAGGGCAGGGGAGAGCACTCTTCAAGCACTCCCTCTCTCCTTGTTCTCTTGACCAGATTTGCAGTAGATTTCATACTTTCAATGATAAGCATTGGATTGAATTTGACGTATTTTAAAAGCAACTCAGCCATAGGATAAGTTTGTACATACAGGGAGTATGACTAAGCATATATGAGTCCAATAAATTTGTCCTGAATATATCTTAGCAAAGTAAAAGAAATTTTAAAACAAGTAGTTTATTCTTTTCTCCCCCGCTGGAAAATTATGAAGCATTTCATTTCCTCAAAAGCATTGTCTGTATTGTTCCAAGTATTTTTTTCTCTCTTTTTTTTATGGAACTAGCATACGTTCTTATCTTAGCAACTACAATCAATTAGTAGAATTGTTCATTATGTTTTCAGTTTTTTATTCCATAATCTCAGTCTACCCATGAAGGGCGTATTGTCTACCCGAGAGTGAATTTGAACAATTAGGCTTCTCCATTTGGTGAGCTGAACCTCTCAAGAGGCAGGTGGTCCTTATTAGTGATTACAAAACATCGTAACCTAGAGGTTCAGAGAAAACAATAGAGCCTGAACTGTAAAAAGAACAGCCATATGCTGCTTCGAGTCCACAGGGAGAAGGTGTACGGAGTTTACTGGATGGGCCTAAAATAACTGAGGACTTTGTTTTCGTACTTCCAACCAGAGCTACTCTTTCTAGATTACTGTAAGAATTTGAGACATATTTTTTTGCTTGTTTCGTTTTTTTATTTTATTCACTTTAGTTCAAATAAATAGTTTGAAAATTAATACAAATATTAGAAGACAATGACTTCATAAGGGTGTTCCCACCACAGTTGTTAGCAGCATGGTGTCAGTCGGAATTGGTGATTTGAGGGAGAAGGGCTTCATTTAATTTTGTGTGAGTCACTCCATAGAAGAAAGTAACTCTTGAACAGGTATTGAATTCTGACCCTCATTTTTGTCATCTGTTAAGTGGGGATAATAGACAGGTCTGTTATGGAGATTAAATGCATTGGCATATAGTGGTCAAGAACAAGACCTTAGAGTCAGAAGGAAGATTTTTGTTTTTTAACCTTCCTACTGAGTCTTGCACATGCTATTTTAGCTCTTTTAGTCTCGGATTCTTTGTCTACATGAAACAATCATAACTACTTCATAGAGTTGTTGAGATAAGTGAAGGACGTTGCATAAACAAAAATCCTAGAATACTGCCTGCTGCATATTTAGTGTTAAAAGAATATGATATAATAACTTTGTTTTATTTTTCCAGGACAACCAGCCTATTGCAGGAGACTCTTAATGGGTATTGCAATCTGAAATTACATGCGTGAAAAGTCTTTTCTGCCTTTATCTTGATGTTCTGAGTAGGGAGTAATTGTAAAAAGAGGTGCATACATTATGATAACTTGCGTGTGCCTGTATAACAAATCCCGGATGTCTATTTTGTATGAAAAAAAAAAGTGGGTTCCATGAGTCAATGCATTGAGGACAGCCAGAAACTTGAGTAAACTTTCTGGTAGAATTTAGCCCAAATAAATCCATCTATCCTGAGATGGTTAGATAGCATAAATGACTCAATGGACATGAATCTGAGCAGACTCTGGGAGATAGTGGAGGACAGAGGAGCCTGGTATGCTGCAGCACATGGGGTCAGAAAGAAGTGGTCAAGACTTAGTGACTGAACAACAACAAAATTCCTATGTACTTCCAGTGTAGTATTTATAACATGATCTGCTGAGTATATATCTTTACCTGTCAATGGCCAGTCAAATACTTGCTATACTAAGGGGTTCCTCAGCTTGCTTGAAATATCGAAAGAGAGAATTTCTGTGTCCCTTCATTTGTTCCATGGTTGTATTG